GGGGGGAGCCGCGGGGGGGCACGTCGAGGGCAGGGAGGCAGCTCCGTGAGGGGAAGGGCCGGGCGGCAGGCCCGTCCCCAGAGCGCGGTGAAGGCGGCCCAGGGCCCCAGGCGGGTCTTCAGAGGTCTTCACAGGTCTTCACGCGTGGGTGGTGCAGGAAGGCAGCTCCGCTCCCCGCGGGGGGGTGCGTGGGGGGTTTATACACGCAGCGTGGGGGCGGTTTCCACCCGTCACTAGCGGTCCGGACTGCCGCCCGGGGCGTGAAGTCCCTCTGGGCCTTGGCAGTAGCTCCCGCTGGGTCTGCAGCACTGGGGGACGTGGTGGGTTTTGGTCACGGCCAGGCTGGAGGCACAGGAGAGCCGGAGCTGGTGTTATCCCCTTCAGTGCAGCACAGAAAGCAGCGTGTCCCCCCTTCCCCTCCCCAAGGGGTGTCCCCACCTGGGAGCACCCCAGCCAGGAGGATAGCTGCCCAGGTGAATTTTCCACACATGACCCCCAGAAGAAGCGTGGGGGAATGTCTCCAGCACGCTGCGGGAGCGCAGGGTGCCGCGAGCACCTCGCCGGCGCTCACCTTACAGGTTGGCGTCGTACGCTGCGTTGGTGAAGATGCCCGGCGATCCTAGGTCACTGGAAAACAGACACAAGGGGGTCACCTTGGGGGAGAGGGCAGGAGCGTGAAGGGCATGGGTTAAGCACAGCCCCGTCAGCCCTGAAGATGGTCCCACTGCATGTAAAGGCAGCCTCACGCAGGCAGATCAGGGTGACGGGGGTGACCGCAGGGTTGTGACAGGCACAGGGCAGAGCCACCCTCCTGCAGAGCACAGCTCTCACCTGGTGGGGTTCAGGAGCTTCTTCTTCTCCTCTGATAACAGTGTTAAAATGTCCACATGGGTAGTGCAGATAGAAAAGAAATAACCACATCTGTTTAGTGAAGGACTTGAGAAGCTGCAGCAGCAGCGTCTGAAATTGAACCAAGTTTGACAAGCACGGGATGGAGCAGGGAGGGGGAGCTGAAACAACTGCCTTCTTCCCCTTTGCAATTAAGGTGTTTTTCTGGCTCTGTCCTCCAAACCTGGCTGCTGACAAGTCCACCTGGACAAACTGCCAAGGAGGTGCAGCCAGACCAAAGCAACTCACAGCAAATAAAACACATGGATTGAGGCAGTCACACTGCTAAACTCTTCTCACCATCACTCCCCTCCCCTGGACCTCTAACCCCCTGGGCTGAGAGCCCCCAGCCAAAGCAACGGTGGGCTGCGGGAGGTGTTTCTGTACCTCTGTTGCTGAGCCGCTTGGCAAGGAGAGCAATGAGTGTCCCCGAGAGCACGATACCAGCTATTGCCAGAGCTGTGCCGCTGCTGTAAGCCAGAACTTGCTTTAAGAAGGGGGCACTGTCCTCTGAAACAGATCCGCAGACCCACAGGTTAGAAAGTTGTCAGGACTTCAGAGCACCCAAGCTACTGGGGTGTCCCCCACCACATTCAAGATGTGCTGCAGGAAGCTGGACACACACACACCCCCCCCAGTGCTAGAGGAGCAGGGGGTCCCACCATACCTGCACAGACAGGGGGATGCCTGGTCCAGTTCCCCGTGGCCGCACACCAGAGCACCTCTGCTCCCATCCGAACAAACCCCTCCTCGCAGGAGAAGGTGCATGTGGAGTTGTAGGTGAAGTTCCCGTGCACATGAGAGCAGCTCAACTGGCCTCTGCTGGGGGAGTCCAGCACCGGGCAGCTGATGGCTGGAGATAAAGTACAGCAGTAGTGTCAATAAGACAGAACCAATGGTGCTGGGATTGGGGACATGTGGGCTGGGGAGCCAGAGGATGAGCTGCCATGGACTGGGGGTGCTGAGAGGAAGGGGATGCTGGGGAACGCAGTCTGCTACAACAGAGCACTTTGACACACGTATGACCACAAAATCTACCTTTGCATTGTGGGGCATCCCCCGTCCAGGTCCCTGTGGCCGTGCACTCGCGGCTCTCTGACCCCATCAGCACAAACCCCGTCTGGCAGGAGAAGGCACATGTGGAGCCAAAGGCAAAGTCCCCATGGAGATGGGAGCAGTTCAGCTCTCCCTGGTCTGGAGCACTGAGCACTGGGCAGGTGATGGCTGCAGGGATAGAGATACATTTCAAGCAGGATCCTGGGCAGTACAAGGCTAAACTATTGGGATGAGAGGACCAAGACACCCAAGAACATCCTAGGGTCAATCCAAGGCCTGTGACACTTTGAGGAGCAACTCTACCTTCACAGTGTGGAGAGTCCCCAGTCCACGTCCCCATGGCTGTGCACTCACGGCTCTCTGACCCCATCAGTGCAAACCCCGTCTGGCAGGAGAAGGCACACGTGGAGCCAAAGGCGAAGTCCCCATGGAGGTGGGAACAGTTCAGCTCTCCCTGGTCTGGTGCGCTGAGAACTGGGCAGGCGATGGCTGCAGGGCAAAGGGCACACTTCAGGCAGAAGCTTGGGGACTGGGAGTCTAAACCGGGACCAAGAGGCTGGGGAACATCCTAGTGTCACCCCAAGGTCAATGACACCCTGAGCTCTAGCAGCAGCTCTACCTTCACATCGTGGGGCATCTCCCATCCAGGTCCCCATGGCTGTGCACTCGCGGCTCTCTGACCCCATCAGTGCAAACCCTGTCTGGCAGGAGAAGGCACATGTGGAGCCAAAGGCGAAGTCCCCGTGGAGGTGGGAACAGTTCAGCTCTCCCTGGTCTGGTGCACTGAGAACCGGGCAGGTGATGGCTGCAGGGCAAAGGGCACACTTCAGGCAGGAGCTTGGGGACTGGGAAACTAAACTGCTGGGACAAAGAGGCTGGGGAATGTCCTAGTGTCACCCCAAGGTCAATGACACCCTGAGCTCTCGCAGCAGCTCTACCTTCACATCGTGGGGCATCTCCCGTCCAGGTCCCCATGGCTGTGCACTCACGGCTCTCTGACCCCATCAGTGCAAACCCCGTCTGGCAGGAGAAGGCACACGTGGAGCCAAAGGCGAAGTCCCCATGGAGGTGGGAACAGTTCAGCTCTCCCTGGTCTGGAGCACTGAGCACTGGGCAGGTGATGGCTGCAATGAGAGAGCAGGTCTTAGAGACAGGATAGATGATGTTAAAACTAGGGTTTAGGGCTGAATCCCAATCACACAAACCCAAATCTATGGTGACATGTCTTTGATTTACCTTTCTCACCCAGACAAGTCTCGCCTCTTCAAAAACAGTAGTAATGTAGTTGGTACAATAATTTTTCTGCGATACAAATGATTTCCTGGGGGGGGGCAGTTGCTGCTCTGCCAGAGCCCTGCTTATCCCCTGCACTACCCCAGGTCACAGCCCCCAGGACGAAGGACCACAGCTGCTGCAGTCCTACTCGCCTCCCTCCCTGGAGGGGGAGCAGATCCCTGCCTCCATCCTTGTCACAGCAGCAGGTGGAAGGACACCCAGATGGCTTTGGGACTGTAGGGGACCAGGATTTGATGACTGTGATGGCGTCCCCAGGCTGTTCCCAGGGTGTGCTTCACTGCATGCCAGGGCAGCACAGCACCCAATGTTTGCTGGGGTGAGCAGCTCCACTGCCTGCAGGACCACTGCAGGTTAGTGCCAGGAGGACATCTACCACCACCAGCACCCAGCCTGGGTGAGACAGTCCCCATTCCCTGTACCTTCTGCTTTCAGACTGACACCAAACACTTTCCCTGGTAGAATTTTCCTTTCACAGCTATTTTACAGGCAAGCCTGGTTTCCCACAGAATCCCCAGAGGTGTCTATTGAGGCCTCAAAACCCAGCATTGAGGCACCCCTCAGCAGGCAGCCCAGGCTCTAACTTCACAGTGCAGCAGCGGGGGGACCCTGTCCAGACCTCGCCAACCATGCACTGCAACCTTCACGCTCCCGTCGCCTCAAACCCCTCCTGGCAGGAGAAGGCATACATGGAGTTGAAGGCGAACATGCCTGTGCAGGTGGGAGCAATCGACCCGGCCCCTTTCGGGGGCAGCCAGCTGGGGGCATGAAACAGCTACAGGCAGACACAGGGCAGGGCATGTGAGGGCAGGACGGGCAGCCTTGTTCTTCATGGTGCCCACAGCACCATCAGCTTCACCGCAGCAGGAGCCTCTGCTTGTTTTTTTGAGTAAACCCAACTGGCAATGCTTGCTAACACAGCTTCATTATCAGCAAAGGCGACTGACTCATCTGATTCTTTACAAAAAAAGAAAAATCAATCATACGTACAGCCAGCAGGAAAAAACAATATGCTGGGAAAGCAAGCCTTTGGGAACTTAGAAAGCCTGGAGCGGGCAGGCTCAGCCCAGCTTGCCTGGGGGGACTTCCACAAAACTGGGACCCAGCTCCTGACCCTGCCATTGCTGGCCACAGGACAGTCACATCACATCTCTGTTCCCCTTAACCACAGAAAGCTTTGCTGGTCTCAGCTGCCTAAAGCAAGCTCCGGGTTGGACCACAGGCCCACCCAGCACAGGCATCATCATCAGCACTAACTTCAAGGCAGGCTTTTTTTTTTTTTTTTTAAAACATATATACAGAGACCTTGTCCGCCCCCTGACCCCTCCTGCTGGGTCTCCGAATACAGAAGGTCCCCAGTTCTGTCCCATGTCTGCTCCAATCCTCAACTTGTCCCATCCTCATGCAAGGCTGCAGATGCACCATGCAGTGGCACAGAGAAGGTGGAGCAGGGCTCTTACACCTCCCAGAAAAGCCCAGCACCTCTCTGGGGTGCCTGGCACCTAGCTGCAAACCCTCAAGCTGCTGACAAGAAGACTTTCTCTGCCCCTGCAGCATAACATACCACAGCTTTCTCTCCTTTGCGGTTTCCTGCCCCTCTCTGTCCCTCCCAGTTTATATCTAACCTCATCTCATGGGTCCTCACCCGTACTCAATGTGCCCCAGCCCTGCCAGATTACACCCTTTCGCTGGCTGCGGGATGGCAGCCCCACTTTGCTTTTCTCTGTGGACCCCTGAGATGTCGAGCACCTTCCCAAGGCAGATTGGGGTGGGCTTGGGGACATGGAGACTGTGCCACCCAGGGTGATGGAGGTGCTAAGACACCGTTCTGCCCCCGTGCTCGGTGCATGTAGGGTGCTGGCACCTGCATGGGATTCAGGACAGCGAGCAAGAGCACTGGGACAGCCAGGGAGAGCAGAGGGCTCATCCAGAGCTCACAGCCACTCTGCCCATCACAGCCTCATCGGGAAACCGCTCCCCGCATGCAGCACCAGGAGCTGCTTCCCCAAAGGGCAGGAGCACGGCAAGCCCAGCCCATTGCTTGCCTGAGCAGCATTGGGCATGCAGGGCTGACCCCCCCCAAAGCATCGATGCCGCATCCCTGAGACCCCCAGCCCCTGGCAGGCCCTACCTGTGCACGTGGGGGTGTCTGCTGACCACTGCTGGGAAGGCAGGCACCGCAACATGCCCACCCCTCGCCGCTCGAACCCCTCCTGGCACCCAAACACGCAGGTGGAGTTGTAGCTGAAGTCTCCGTAGGGGTGGCTGCAGTTCATGGTCACTCCCTTGGGCTCGAGCTTGGTGCACTGCACAACTGGGAGAGATGCGGCACCGCCAGCCCGTTAGGAGCACAACGAACTTGCTCGCTTTGCCGGCGGGGCTCAGGCTCTCCAGCAGGGAAGGAGGGAGGGATGGGGATGAGTGGCTCACCGTCCTCGCACTCAGGGCCATGGAAGCCGGGGTAGCACTCGCATCGGTAGCTCCCGATGGTCTCCACGCACTCGCCACGCTGGCTGCATGGGAACGGCTGGCAGGAGGCTGCATACACAGAGGACGGTCATCAGGAGCCGCTAGCCACCCTGCCGAGGTCCCTAGCCCACCTGATCCAGGTCTGTGCCGTGGTCCCCCTGCTCACCCCGGTAGCACAGCGCCTTTTTCTTCCGGCTGCAGGGCTCGTCATTCCACTTGCCCGACTCCCACTGCCTCTTAATGTAGATCTCCACGCAGTCCTGGTTGGAGCGGCGGTTGTTGGGTTCCCCGTCTGCCCAGTTCTCCGCCTCCTTCGTCAGCGCCTTCCTGGTGCCCACCCAGGTCCAGGTGCCGCCCAGCTTGCGGATGCCGATCCAGTAGTAGCGCCCATGGAAGGGCAGGGTCTCGTTGAGGTACTCAATCTCCTGCTTGTTCTGGATCGCCACCAGGTCGGTGAAGAAGGTCTGGCAGTAGTTCCTCGCCTGCTCCCACGTGTAGTCCCCTTGGTCACTGTAGTGGTACGTCCAGGCACCCACCTCCACGTGCGTCACCGCACCTGTGAGAGAGGTTGATGTCTGGGATCGACGCAGAAAGGATGGGAGCCAGGTCGGGGATGGGGTCCCTTGGGACATGAGGTTGGGCTAGGGCTGGCATCAGGGGCAGCTGGGTGAGGGGACAGGACGAAGGGCCAAGTGTGGATGAGAATGGGGCTCTAAGGCTACATGGAGACCTGGGTGGATCAGGCATGGCAGAAGGAGCTGAGGTAGGACAGAGGGAGACAGCACAGGGATGAGGAAGGTGGGGGAGATAGGGTGAAGGCTGAGACAAAGGGCAGCATGGGATGGGGCAGGCAGAGCGCAGGTGGCAGAAGAACCCCAAGCAGTAATGCCAACCCCTCCTCTAGCACAAGGGGTGAAAGCCCTGCCCCACAGCCCTGCTCCCTTGCCCACAAAGGTTTCCCAAAGGGGAAAACCCAACATCGAGATGGTTCCTTAAACATGGTTCCTTCCTCAAGCGCAGAATTGTACCACTTTGGTTTTCTTGCTTTACACTTCTACAGGAGAGTCAGCTTGGAGCAAGGCAGAGCAATGAGCTTGCCCTGACCCCAAAAAGCATTTGGATCCAAAGCTGCTCATTTGAGGCAGAGATGGTCTGAAGAGTCTTGTAAAACATGTATTGCAAAACAACATCTTGCAAAAGTCAAGTTCACATCCTGGTCATGCCCGCCAGTCAGGGCAAAGCCAGAAATTAACTGGAACCCACACCCAGAAGTGAAGGGCACTTTGCTGAAACCCTGCTCTTATTTACAGCATTTCATACCACAACTTGATGCAATCAAAGGGGGTTAGCCACAAAAAAAAGCTTCCTCCCTCCTCCCCAGAAGCAGGTATCTCCACAACTGCAGAAAGTGATACGGGGATCATATCTCCATCTGTGCATAAAGTGAGATGGGGATCAAAATTTGCTCCAAACAACCAGCCTAGGGTACCCTGTGTCTCAGGAGAGCATATCACACTGTGGTCATGCAGGCAAAGGTCTGGGCATCACAGATTAGATGCAAATCTAGGGCTTCCCAACTCTAATTAGGGCTCTAGTTTGGTCAATAATTATGCATTTTTCTAAGAAAAATTCCTATAATTTGTCTGCTTTTCCTTGTGAAGGAGCAAGCTATCCACTTTGTTCAACAAAACTGAAGCTGAGGAAAACGTGGGCTTCAACAACAGCCCCTTGGGAGTCTGGGGCTACAGGACAGAAGCTCAGGGCACCTCCTGGGAGCCTGCCCCATCCTCAGCTCCCACCACCCACCTCCTGGCCCTCGCTACCTCCACAGCACAGCTCAGGGCAGCCGCCCTGCTACCCTCACACACCCCATCCCCAAACCAAGAAGGACTAAGGGAGCCCATCTTCTACATGCCCATCCTCCATGTGTTCTCCTGCCTCTTTCTTCCAGCTCTACCAGTAACGCCATCTCCGTAGCGCAGCTCCTCCCCACTACTTCCCCTCAGCCTTATGTTACCTCTCCCTGGAAGCTGAACCTCCAGGTGGGTGCTGTTTGCCTGCATTTCAACATCTCGGCTCCCCTGGCAGCCCCTGACACCTTCCCCCAGGATGCTGCTCAGCACCCGCCACATTTGGGGTGCCTTTGCGTTTTTGCTTTCCCCTCAGAGATAAATCTCAGCCTCCTCCTGACACTTCTGCATTTGCCTCTGTTCCTTAGCTCAATCATGAAAGGTTCTTTGGAAAATAACCCAGCTCATAGAGGATCTCTAAGGACAGAGCAGGCACCGGCAATTTTTGCTCTATGCAATGCCAATATGTGAAGGAAATACCCTACAGGCAGCAAAACCAAATTAGTTGCTACTCTGATTTCTTCTCCTGATGACAATTAGCAGCTTTAACTCTGTGTGGTGCTGCCCCAGCTGTGGTCCCCACCCTTGCACCTGTGGGTCCTGTGGCTTCGGCTATGCCCAGCTCTGCACCATGGGTATGGGCGTAGGCAGGTGGTAGAGCTGCTGCTGGCTTTCTCTAGTTCATGGTACAATGCACCGGCTGCCACGCTGCTTTTGGGGAACCAGATGCCCTGTGGGGACCCTGCGCATGGCCTGGCCCTCCCCGGGGGAGCACGGTCCTGTGACGGGTCTGGCTGGAGGGACCTGGCCTGGGCAGACACAGCCCCCTCCCAGCCCAGAAGGATCCAGTCCTGGGACTGGCAGCCATGGGGAGTGTGACTGATGAGCCCCCAAAATAACATTGCTGCCCTTCTCCAGTTTCCCGGACCTGCAGGCTCCTTGGCAGCAGGGTCACGCTGGGCTTACCGAGCGGGTGGCGGGTGGCTTACCCCATGTGATGGCAGCGATGCCCAGGTAGCAGATGCCACGTGAGCCCAGAGCCCACGTCCTCCCAGCAGACCACAGTCCCGCAGCAGTGCCCTGCGTGCCAGGGAAGAAGGCGTGAACATGCACGTCCCACGGAGGCTCACGCACCCCACCATGCACCCACACCGCTGCCAGGTGGTCCTGGTAGCCACAAGGGCATGTTGCTTGTGCCAGGTTGCACACAGGCATGTGCGGTGCCGCTGGCCAGGCTCTGCTGCTGAAAGTGCCCCTCCAGCGAGGCACTTTGCGGGGGCTGTGCCCACAGCACAGCTGGGCAGTGGGAGAGGCCATGCCAGCAGTGCAGTTCACTCCTGGGGAGCCCCTAAATCCAGGGCATGCCTTGTGCCCTCCACCCCTCCCCACCCACCCCAGGGGTGGCATCTGCCTCTGCAGTGGCAGTGCCCTGAGCGCCTGGCACAGCCTCGCTGCCCGGGGCAGGGTCTCTCCAGGGCAGCTTCAGTCCATCCTGCGGGTCCCCGGCAGCGGCACCGGTTCCAGGCAGCGCCTGCCCCCAGCCCTGCCCTCCCCTAACCCCCTTTTCCAGGCAGACCCCAACTCATCCCCAAGGAAAAGAGCAAGACCTACCATGTTGGCGCCGCAGACGCACCTTGCCCAGCTGCCAGCAGCACCAGGCGCGTCTGGCCCTTGGCAGGCAGCAGCGCTCACACTTCCTCCGAGTGTGCAGAGCATCGCTCCCTGCCCTTGGCCTCTTCCCCTCCCACCCCAGCCTGCTGCCAGCCCGCATCCTGCCCTGCACCCCCGCCTCCCCCGCTGCGGGGCTCTCCCACCCCTAGAGACCCCGTTCCCAGCCCGGGGCTGGAGGGGAACAGCGGGGTCAACCCTGGCCGCGGCCCTGGGGGGACTCAGCTCGGCATCTGCCCCACGGCACGGGAGCTGGGTGCATCCCCACGCTGCCACGGGAGCCAACCCACAATGAGCCGGACCTGCCCGAGCCCCCCAGGAGGTGCAGAAGGGTCCAGCCCCAGCCCATGCTGCCCAGGGCACCGAGACCTCTCCGACCCACCAGGTCCATGTCGCAGTGCCCACACTGGCGGTCAGGGGACGGAGGAGGGATGAGGTATGCTGAGCTCCCACACGGGCTGAGCGGGAAAGTGGCTCACAGCCTCCCGGCTCCTGCGGCGGATGCTCTCCTCGCTCGCAGGCTTTTTGCTTTGGCTGTGAATCTTCATATACTGTTTATAAATGTTACTTACACAATGTATTTTCCTGTGTTTGCTTTTAAATCTTTATGAGAAAGATCCAAGAACATGCCAGAGGAACTTCCCGAGTTTTAAGTGTCCTTTATGAACTTCGCCAATGCTTCAGGAACATGCCTCATTGTTCCACCTCCCCTTGGACCATTCTTGAATCACCACAAATCTTTCCTTACCCTGTTCTGCTTCTAATTAATTAATTACCTTGGCAGGGTTTTCTGCAGGAATTACCCTACTCAGTTCCAGCTAGACTAAAGCGAGAGCTGTGCAGGTCACATGCAATTTCCAGTTCCAGAGAAATTGATGCTGTTCCAGCGGGACTCATGCTAGACAAAAGGAGGAACCCATCCCACAAAAGCCATAATGCACTACAATAACTTTATATTTGGCCAATGTAAATGAAACTCAGCTCCTGTCTCTGGATATCTTTCTTGCAAAATGTTTTACTGTAATTATCTATTTCTGTGGAATTGCTGAGCATGAGCCTGTACGTCCAGTAATTCAGGAGCGCTCGCTTTCTAGCAGCTCACGTGCAGAGAGTGCACAAGGGAAGAAGCAGCGGGGCAGGCAGAGAGGCTGAGGGGCAGCTGCTGGGGCGGGAGAGCATCTCCAAACGCTGAGGGTCACCTGGGCAGGGTGGGAGCTGCCTCTCCCACGTGGTGGGAGACCCGCTGGGAGTCAGAGGGGTGCTCGCAGGTGCACAGCCCCGGGGGTGAGCAGGCTGTGCCCCTGCCAGTTTCACTTCTTCTGAGACCCGACACAGTAGGGCAGAGCAGTAGAATAAAAATATTCCCACCTTTATTTTTGTAACTACAAATAGTTTCTGGTATTGTTTAAAAAACAGAAACAAGGTGGCTGAGACCCAGAGGCTGCCACTGCGAAGGGCAGAATGTGGCCAAGTTCAAAGCTGCTTGTAGGGACAGGTACCCTGTGCCTGTGGGTACCTGGGCTTGGAGAGGGGGTCCTGCATGCCAGGACTGGTACCGAGGGTTGCTTTGCAGGTGGTGGAAAAAGGTACACATGGTGGGACGGAAAGAAGACCTGAATCAGCTCTGCTGGGAGCTGGTTAATCACCAGGTTAATCACCCTTTCTCATCTTGGGTGGTTTCCAAGGCTGGCTCCCCAGGAAGGATTCAGGATGCTGCTGCCCCACTTACCAAGGAAGGGCCCGTCCCTGCCTTACGGGCTAAGCAGCACAGGGATTTCCCAGGCAGCGGGATGGTGCATCCCGTCCCCCCAGCTGCCCTCTGAGGGCACAGCACAAGCTGTGAGCCAGGGCTTCGCTCGGCAGGAGCTTAAGGGAGCAGGTACAAAGACACTTTCCCATGTCACGTCCTCACTATCCCTCGGCCCTGCAGGGATCTGGAATAGAAATGTGCCTCCTTTGCTGTGTCCCGGTCCTGAGCCACAGATGGAGGTGATGCTCTCTCTCACGAGAGCCCTGCCGCGGGCTGTATCTGTGAGGAAGGGGCACGGTTGCCCCACGCATGCCTCGGCACCACTGCTGAGGGTGCCATGCAGCCAGTGGAGTTGGGCAACCCACACACAGGCTGTGACCGCAGGACTCGCTGGGAGGAAACAGCTTGGCCACCGCAGCCATCACTGCCTGGCCAGGCTGATGCTCTGCTCCCTCTTGGCATGCTCGGCTGTGCCGCGGGCAGGGTATCACGTGCAGGGCAGGGTGCAATTCCTGCACAACTATCCTGACGGTGCTGGGACTGCCCCGGTGTCGATGAGGTCCATGGTGACAGGGGCTGTACGTGCTGCATGGGGAGGTGGGTGCTGGCAGAGGTGGACAGATGCCCCAGGGCCAAGACCAAGCTGTGCCCTGCACTGGGTCCCCAGGGAGTCCCCAGGACCCGGTGGATGGAGACCCTGGGGGCAGGGGGTCCAAGAGGCACCCCCGTCACCAGCACGCCGCAACCCCCCCGCAAAGAGGCACGCTTGTGTTGTTTTCAGCAGAGGCTCCTGCCCCACGACAGCACAGCCTGTTCCCCTCCTTATGCAATGTCCCCCGGCAAACCGCAGAGGAACCAAGTCACCCTGACACAGCCCGCTTGCCTCGGCTACCGCCAGCGATACAGCGGGCACCTTCCTGGGGAGAGAGAGCCTTCCTGGTGATGGAGAGCCTTTTCACCGGGCACCGCTGCCAGCTGGGTACCCCTGCCCGCACTGCCTGCTGGCTCCCTGGCGCCTGGCAGCAGCAACATGTGCGTGGCACAGATAAGGGTTCGCCAAGCAGGATGCCGGGGGTGCAGATAACGCTGAAGTTATCTCACCGCTTGTGTGGTAGGCAGTAAACAAGCGGCTCTGCCCTCCCTGGGAATCCCAAGCAGCGCCTCTGCCCTGCCAGCGAGCCAGGGCACAAGGTGCGTATGGAGTGCTGGGGTGCAGCTCCAGGGATGTGCTGCATCCAGGGACAGCCCCGTAGCCATCCCTTACCCTAAGCAAGAGCAGAACCACCCAGCCTGCAGGGCTGCTCCTGGGAACTGCTATTGCTCTGCCTGCACCCTGCCCGGCTCCCCACAGCACTGTGCATCCCTGGAAGGCTGGGACACGCCACCGACCCACACAGCCTGCCCCCCGAAGGCACCTGTCTTCCCAGCACAAGAATTATCCCTAGAGCTGTCACGCTGGCTTGGCGTGGGGGGCAGCCCAGGTGGTGGAGGCATTGGCAGCCGATGGAGCAGGCCACCTGGCACCCTGGACAACACCAGTGCTTCTGTCTCGTGTCTGGTTTAATGCAGAGATTTCAATCTTCTCCCGTCTCACAAAGCAAGCCCAGAGACAGATTCCTCTCTTCGTCACCTCCATCACCCCCTGTGGGCTATTGCCTGCTCCCCTCCCATCCTGCTCTTTGCAGCATGGGCTCTGTCCTCCTCTGCTCCCCAAGCAGAGCTGCCGCAGCCTGCCCGGAGCCAGTGCATGAACAAACTCAGCCAGCCCCAAGAGCGGTGTCTCCAGCCAGGGCCAGCTCCCATGGAGCAAACAATGTCTCTCCTCCAGCCAGGAAATCCTGCGGCATCCCCTCCGGCAGGCACTGAGCCCAGCTGCATTTTCCCTCGAGACAGAGGCATCCTTGAGGACGCTCTTCACCTTTTGGCAGGCCAGGGCTGAGCTTTCTTCTTCTCCTTCTCACATCTCTGCTTCAGTGCAGCCAGCAGTTTGATGCTTTCTCCCCTGGGGTCTCGGTTATCTCTCTGCTTCAAAGAGCTACTGTGCACTGCGACTATTTAAATTGCTGATTTATTTTCCGCAGGTAGAGCAGGCTCTGGCACAGCGTACGTTTTAAGGTCTTTCTTACGTCTCAACCACTTTGCTTTTGTGGATCTACAAACTGCCGTGTCCATGCTGCCCGCGCTGTTGCAAACCACCGGGCTTTGCCCTGCGCAGCATCCCCTGGGTGTGCGACCCCGGGGACGGGGTAGCCCCATCTGAATTGCCGCTGCCGTGACCATCCAACTCTCTGTGCACAGGGTCAGCGGCGCCTGCTGAAGCTGCCTCTCTCTAACAGTCCTGACTTTTGGGGCAAGCCCCTGCAAGAAAAAAATCAAAAGCTAAAATAACGCAGGGAAGGATGTTCCTAACCATTTCTTGTCGCCTTTGAAATTAATTTCTCCTCCTCTGACCTCTCGCAGCTCTGCTTCAAGAGCAAGATGGCTACAAACACCAATTTAACTGTGCTTTGGCAATGGGCAGAGGGATACAGGCTCTTTCACAGCTGAGCAGCAAAAGCAAGAGGTTGTTTCTGCTAGGATATGGCAAGGCAACATAGGGAGTGCTTTCCTAGCTTCTTTTTATTTACCCTTGAAAGGAAAAGGACTGTTTTGCAGAGAGGCATTTCGGGTGGACTCACTGGCCCGAGAGGAGGCAAGGCAGGACCTTCTCCCTCCACCCGTCCCTGATGCTCTGCTTTAATTGTGAAAGCCGTAACCTCAGTAACTCAAGAAATATGGCTTTCATATACTGCTGGGCAATTGGGGCCGGGTAAGGCTGATATTAAACACAGTCCCAGCTTTCTCTGCAGCCACGCGGGTCTGCAGCTGGCCCAGCCCCACGCCAGGACCCTACCTGGCTCCTCAGGGGAGAGCAGCGGGCAGCTGCCCGGGCTGCCTGGCTCCAACCGCAGCCACCAACCCTCCTCTGCTGCCTCCGCTGCTGTCACACCGTTGTCACGCGAAGACTTCCCGGCGCCCAGCAAGAGCTAGAAACCCGCTTTCGCTCTACGGGAGCTGACGTCCTTCGGCAGAGGCGTGGGGCCGGGAGCAGCGTCCGTCCCGATGGACGCCGGCGCGGGCAGTGAGCGGAGCTGTGCCGGCTGCGACGCCCATCCCCTCTGCCACGGGGGTGCTGTAAGGATGCCGTGGGGGTGCCAGGGGCCACCGTCGAGTGCCCGCCGGCCCGTGGGGCGTTGCTCTCCACAATGAGCTGGAGGAGCCCTGCTCCAGGGAAGTCCATGATGACCACCCCCCAGCGCACGGGCTGCCCCCCCCGGCGCCGCAGGTGCTGGTAGCAGCGGGGGTTCACAAAGCGGGCCACCTCCTCGGGGCAGGTGAAGAGCCCGTTACCAGAGCAGAAGGTGAGGTGCATGGTGGCGGGGTCCCCGCCGGCCGCCCTCTCCAGGTGCCGCCGCGCCCGGACCCACTTACGCTTCAGCGAGAGCACGTTCCAGGCGTCGCTGATGCTCAGCTGCTCGTAGGGAATGCCCAGCACCTCCCGCGCCAGCGCCTCCAGCACCACGATCTTCCCCCGCACCTGCCCCAGCGTCGGCACCTCCTCCCGGCACCACACGTGGCCCCGTCCCTCCTCCAGCAAGCAGCGGTGGAGCCGGGCGGCGAAGCCAGGCCGGGGGAAGATGGGCAGCTCCTCCTTGATGCGCATAAGCACGGCCTCGCCGGGGTGGGCGCGGAGGAAGCGCAGGGTGCGGCGCAGGACCCCCCGCAGGCTGGCCCGCTGGAAGGTGCAGAGGTGGTAGACATGGAGCTCGCCCCGCGCCAGCTTGCAGCGCACGTCCAGGAAGCGGATGCCGGCTGCCAGCTGAGCCTCCAGGCCCCAGCTCTGGCACCGCAGGCGCCGGCCGCCGAACAGGCTGAGGGAGTCGTGGGTGCCAGGGATGGAGAGGCGGGAGAGAGGCAGGGCATCGGGGAGTCTCGCCATCCAGTCGGGGCAGCAGGCTGCCGGCTGGGGCGTGCAGTCGAACGCCGCGCTGCGCCGGCACCGCGCCTCCATACTGCCAGCGCAGCGGGCGCCCCGGCGCCTGGCCGGCCCCACCAAGCCCTGCCACAGAGGAGAAGCAGCACCATGAGCGGTGGGAGCGCTGCATGGCCCCCATGCATCTCCATCGCGCCCCTCCCCAGAGGTATCCCCACCATCCCACGCACCCCTTAGCATGCCGCGTGTCCCGCGCCCCGTATACATTGATGCCAATACCCTGTGCTGTTGTACTGTATGGTTCCCCTCCCTCCCTCAAGCACTCCCCCATGCTCCTTGCCCAGCCCGGGGCTGTGCCATCCCGCCGCCCCCAAACTCTGGCATATCCCAGCCTCCTCCTCTTGCACCCACCTGGGTTTGCCTGCGGCAGCGGAGCGCAGCCCGCCGGACGGGGCGCACGGCCGTGGGTGCCGGCGGCACACTGGCAGGCGGAGCGAGATGCCTGCCATTAACCCGGTGACGGTCATGACGCGCGTCCTGCCTTGCACGCGGCACGTGCACCGGGGATTCATCCTCAGCCAAGGAGAACGCTTGGTGGACATGCTGGGCTGGAAAATCACCTGGCTGATCCCGAAAGCAGCCATTCAGGCCTCTACACCTCCCTTCCCAGGAATCAGGAAAGACGGGATCAGGATGCCCCAGGGCCCCTTGACGCTGCCTGTGGGAGCAGCTGTGCAGATACCCCGGGCGCCCACATGCCCGCTCCAGAGCCATGGCCTGGCTTGGCTCCCGGTGGGACCTGGTCCCCCCCCCAGAGTGATGACTGCCATCGCCCCTGTCAGAGGGACAACGGCCAGGCAGGGACCTGGAGCAGGGGGTCTGTGCTTGCCAGCATACCCCAGGACCTGCCCGGTGAGGGTCCCCCGGGAAGCGGGCTCTGTCCCCTTGCTCCTCGGGCACCGGCAGCTGCTTCACGCCAGAGTCACCGCAAGGCTGCTCCGGGCAGCCTGGGCTGCCATCACCAGTGGGGTGCGAGCCCCGCGGCCACGGCCAGGTCAGGAGCTGGTGCCTGGGGAGGGGTGACTCACCTCCTGTCCGGGGGACATGGCTGCGGGGCACCCCGGTCAGCAGCGCACACCGAGCCGGGGGGTTTTTGGGGAAGAGCCGCCCGGCAGGTCACAGACCCCTCTGAGCATCCCTCCCAGGACACATCCCCTCCACTCCAGCCGGGAGAACACAGCGATCCTCCGGGGATGCTTTCTGCCGCACCGCAAGGACATCAGGAGGGAGGACAACCAGCAGCCGTCTTTCCGAGGCCGAGGGCTGTCCCCCTGCTCGGGGAGTGCGGGGGGGGACACACACGACACAGAGACCCTGCAGCCTCCGCGGGCAGCCTCCCCCAACCCCTGAAAAGGCCTTATGTTTAACTGCGGCTTCTGCCCGTCGCGAAGAGCCCGGCTCTCCCGCCGGTCAACCCCGGGCAGCCGGAAGACGGGCCTCCGGCTGCGCAGCCGCTGCCTGCCCGGGCCCGCCCCGCCGCCTCCGCTCCCTCCACATGGCGGCGGCAA